GAATAAACATTATCTGCATACTTAAATTTTATCCTGCTTGTCTTCTGATTATTATAAAACTAACCCTAGCACTGATCCCTGGGGCTCTCTGCCACTTACACTCTTCCATCTAGAGAAGGGCTTGCTTATTCCTGTCTTTATTTTGTTTTATTTTTGTTTTATGAAACAGGGTCTTGCTCTGTCACCAAGCCTGGAGTGCAGTGGTACGAGCATGGCTCACTGCAGCCTCAACCTCCTGGCTCAAATGATCCTCCCACCCCAGGCTCCTGAGTAGCTGGAACTACAGGTGCGAGCCACACACCCAGCTAATTTAAAGTATATATTTTTTATAGAGATGAGGTCTCCCTATGTTGCCCTATGTTGCCCAGGCTAGCCTCAAATTCTTGACCAGAGCCTTAAGCAGTTCAGGCCAGAGCCTTAAGGCCAGAGCCTTAAGCAGTCCTCCAACCTTGGCCTTCTGAAGTGCTGGGATTACAGGTGTGAGCCACCACACCCAGCCTATTCTTGTCTTTAATATCCATCCCCAAAACAGCTTCCCATTCCCAATGAATAAACATTGCCTTTGATGCAGTGGAAACTCACGTTTTTAAACAGTTTTACATCTGAAATCCTGTTAAAAATTTTAAATGACAAATCACATCCATCAATATTTCCTTTCACTCCTAGTTTCAAATCAACCTTAAAATGCTTATGAAACCTTTGGTTTTCATCTCAGTGCATTATTTTTAGTGAAGCATTCCATAATCCTTGTGATCAGTCAGCATCTTTATTAAATACCCTACTCTGCACCTCAAGTAGAGTTATCGATCCCTCCAGCTTGCCACTGTGAATTAAATCACTGATTAATGGAAATGCTCAGGGTCCCTGCCACAGAACATGGTGTGCGTGATACTCTGTGAAAATCCATCATGGCAGATCATGCAAGTATAGTGGCAGAATTTGTTTTTGCTAGAAAACTCCACTGCTCAGAATGACTATCTCTTAATTCAGATTGAGAGAGAAGTATCACTTCTCCTAATGTCTTTAGTACCTAATACATTGGTAAATAAATGATTGCTGTGAACTAAATTACATTTGCCCCTACCCACCTCGAGATATGTCAGCAAACTGTCTAGAAGCACCCCAGGAGGATGGCAACCCCCTAACATTACTTTTCCTAGCAGCTAGGACTGAGATCCTTTGTTATAGAGCAGCTCTGTACCAGAAGTATCCTGAACCCTACTCCTCACCTTACTCCCGAGTGAGACGCCTGGCCCCTTTGCCCCAAAGCCATTTTTCTTGCCCATCTCCTTTCCCCCTGACAGGTTCCCCACTGACGTTAGTTAGGATGGAAGAGGGTTTGAGTTATCACAATTCTGGCCAGCTTTTAAAGGTGTAAAGAAATATGTGAATATGCCAAGTGTGGTGGCTCACACCTGTAATCCCAGCACTTTAGCAGGTCTAGGCAAGCAGATCACTTGAGCCCAGGAGTTCAAGGCCAGCTGGCAACATGGCAAGATCCCATCTCTACAAAAAATACAAAGATCAGCCGAGAGCAGTGGCATGCATCTGCAGTCCCAGATACACGGGAGGCTGAGGTGGGAGGATCGCCTGAGCCCAGGGAATTGAAGCTGCAGTAAGCCATGATTGCACCACTGCACTCAAGCTTGGGCAACAGAGTGAGACCCTGTCTCAAAGAAATATATGAATATATATTCATAACATATATGGATTTTATAAAATTTTATAAATGAATATATACATTTTCCTATGTAAGATATATGGTTTATTAAATACTTGAAATATATCTTTATGACATATATGAATAGTATATATGCCCTTGAGCAGATCATTCTTACTTAAAAGCCATATTTGGTTCTTAAGAGAGAGTACTTGTGAAAGGATGCTCCACAAGAATTGAGGAAAATACTTGTTCATGGATAGGAAACTTGCTTTGGAACAGGAAACAAAGGATACAGATCCATGTGAGTACAGGTCGGGGAGGACAGGGGTGAATATCCGAATGGGAACAGAGGAAGTTATCTGCAGTTTCTCAGGTCATTCTGAGATGTTCTTCCACCCCCAGCTGAGAATCTCTAGTCCAGAGGCTAAGAAGCTCTGCTGCCTATACAGCTACTGCCTTACCCTCCTAATACTCCAGAAGACATTTCGTGTTTGTTCATAGCCGTATGGGAGCTGTCTTTTCATAGAATGTTCATCTTTTTTTTAAATAAGGAGTTTTTGATAATTTTGGTGTTTGATCCGTTCATTTTCTCTCCAAATCTTGAGTTCATCATTGCTCTTAGTTTGGCCTGAAGGAAAAGTAACATTCCCAAGCCCCTATTGTTCACATAGGAAGAGATGTATCCCTTTTAATTTAAAAGTTACTTATTTTAACATAATTAATAAATATCAAGAAAAGATAAGGTTCTGGCTTCCATAAGCTGTGTGGACTGCAGATTCTTGCCAAGGTCCCAACCCCTCCCTGTACACATTCTGGACTGGAGCAAAGTGTGCGGTCTTCAAAAGTCTTACATCAGTCTTCAAACTTCAGAAGGTAACTGAAGGCAGGGAATTCAGAAGCTGGTGCTCTTATCCTGACTGGACACACGGATCCATAATCCCTAACCCCAGTACTTCAGTTTCAGTTTATAGTTTCTACCAGTCCCGATGTCCCCTGAACATTTCATGACTTGTCATCCAATGCATATGGCACAATTATCCCTGTGATTGCCAACAATTAGAATGGGCAGGTGGAGGGGAAATGAAATCTGCTACTGGCTCGACTCTGGGGTTAGCCATTGCCATTATGACTTGTTAGTACATGCAGGCCTGGAAGGTGACAGGTTAAGGTTGCCAAGGAAAAGGGGGCTCTGGAGATAACGTCCTGTTCTTTATCCTTTGCCAGGACTTCTACTTAAATTCTCTCTGGATTAAGAACCACAATTGTTTCCCTAGTTACAGAAAGGCTGTTGGTGTTAGGCAAGAACAGGAAGATGGGTGTGGCGGCCCAGGCACTTAGAACAGTAGGTGTTAGGTGTGTGTGTGCACATGTGACTGGGGGGACAGCATGTGCACATGTGTGTGACTGTACTCTTGTGGAGACTCATAATGCCTAGTAGCCTCCCCTTCCCTTGGCAAAATAGCAGAAAAGCATCATCATACTGTATAATATTTCTGTATAAATATTTTACAAATAATATTTTCAGTGTATTCTGCAATGCCTTGTGAGACACTTAGGACAGGCATCTTCATTTTTTCCATAAAAAAGGAAGGTTTAATAACTTAATACATAAATATTCAAATCAGAAATGCTTTAGAATGTGTTCAACAAAGTCAATAATTCTCACTCAGCAGAGAAAGTAAACTATTTTGACTGGGCACTGTGGCTCATGGCTGTAATCCCAGCACTTTGGGAGGCCGATGGGGGCAGATCACTTGAGGCCAGGAGTTCGAGACCATCCTGGCCAACACGAAGAAACCCTGTCTCTACTAAAAATACAAAAATTAGGTAGGCGTGGTGGTGCTCCCCTGTAGTCCCAGCTATTCGGAAGGCTGAGACACAAGAACCACTTTAACCCAGGAGGCAGAAGTTGCAGTGAGCTGAGATTGCACCACTGCATTCCGGCCATGGCAACAGAGTGAGACCCTTCTCAAAAAAGAAAAAAGAAAGTAAACTGTTCAATAGGGCAAAAAAAGCAAAGTCTTAAAACGCAATGGAAAGGTTGGATTTACATTAGCATTGTTTTACAGTTTGAGAAGACAAACTGACCTGCTAACAATGTTCAAGCAGTTGGTATTACTGAGACTACAGGTGATTTGTTGAGCATTGAACAAGTTATGAAGCTTGCACATATATGTGTACTGCTGCAATGAAATGAAATGAATGGCAAAATTAGTTTAGCACTCATTTGACGCATAGGCATTATTTGGCTACGTTGTAAAGCATAATAATAAGCATATAACATAAGGGGCTGCCAATTTGGTTGGAGAGAGTGACAATCTGAGACAAACTGTAGAAGATTAAGTATTTGGGGCCAATTAAGTATATCTCAAAAATAAATCCAAGATATTAAGTATGAATTCATAAGGATCAAAATGAGGTCAGAGGCAGATTTCAGGGGCAAAGATAAGAAGATTGGTCTTCAAAAATTTATATATGAAATTATGCAAGGACTTTAGGAGGCTGGAATATCTAGGAAGTATGCGAAATGGCTTAATGAGAAAAACACAGGACCAGAGATCAAGAGATTGTGCATTCAGCCTCAACTGTCTCTCAGTAGTTGTGTGACTTTGTGCAAATCGTTTACTCCCCCTCTCCAAATTATAATCCCCTCATCTTTGAGGCAAAGGTCTTCATAAGTGGTACTCTTTATCAGACAAATGTAAAAATGCCTGCAGCAGAAATCATTAAATGTGTAGAACTGCTGCTGATGATGATTTGTTTTTATTAATGATCTGTTGTAATTGATAAATTGTTCTATTTGATAATTTTCATAACAAAATAACAGATTTAAAATTTTTTTGTTGTTGTTTAGAGATAGGGTCTTACTCCATAGCCCAGGCTGGAATGCAGGTGTGCCATCATAGCTCACTGAAGCCTCAAACTCCTGAGCTCGAGCGATCTTCCCACCTCAACCACCAGAATAGCTAGGACTACTGGTGCGTGCCACCACACACAGCTAATTTTTTTATCTTTTGTAGAGACGGGGGTCTTGCTGTGTTTACCAGGCTAGTCTTGAATTCCTGGCCTTGAGCAGTCCTCCCATCTCAGCCTCCCAAAGCGCTAGGATTACAGGCATGAGCCACTGTGCCTGACCTAGATTTTTTAAAATAAGAATTTAAGGTACAAATACACGACAATTTATTTTTTTTGTTAGTAATGGTGTGACTTATCAGTCTGATTTTTTTAATTGTAAATTTATAAAATTATTCATTATAAAACGTTTTGGTTTTCCTAATAATGTGTTTTCCAGTTTTAAGACTAACTTATTTCTATTTTTATTTTTCAAATTCCTTAGCACTCCTGATTTGGAAAAACAACCAAATGAAAATGGAGTATCTGTTCAGAATGAAAATTTTGAAGAAATTATAAACTTACCCATTGGATCTAAACCATCCAAATTAGATGTCACCAATAGTGAGAGCCCAGAAATTCCTTTGAATCCAATTTTGGCCTTTGATGATGAAGGGACACTTGGGCCCCTGCCTCAGGTAGATGGTGTTCAGACACAACAGACTGCAGGTAAGCTTGCCTCCAACTCCCTTCTGTAGTCATCAGAAATATCTGACACCCGGGAGGACACAAACTGCGACCTTCTACAGTATGATTGTGGTAACACTTTGTTCTTCAAAGGACCAAGTAAGCCACAGTGGAAAAGATTGTGCCTGGCTCATAGAAATTGAATTTTGAGTTGGATTGGACAACTTCTAAGGCCTCTCCTATTCTCTCAGTCAGTGCAGAAATCCCGTCTGCAGCACCCAGTGGGTGTCCATCAGCCTCTCTGCACAGAGCAGCACCCATTACCCAACAGCGTGCATGGGCAGAATATGCTTTGTAGAAAGACAAGGCTGCCTCCCCATACTTATGGACCATTCCGGCCTAGTGCTGCCCACTAGAGAAAGATTTGAGTTTTTTCCATCTTTCTCAGGTCTTCATATATTTGAACACTACCACCATTTTTCTCTTATTTGGGTTTGGCAACCTGAGTAATAAATTATTGTCATTTTAAAATGTGACATGATGAGTAGTTACAATTTAGGTGATGAAACCAGTACTCTGAATAGGATCACACTGAGTCTAAGGATCTTTCCTTGTTAAATGATTTGTTGCTGTTGAAACTGCCTGTGACTTTCTTATACAATGTCTCTTTGACCCACACTTGACCTGAAGTCTTTGTGCAAAAAGAACAATCAGGACCCAAAGAAAGAAGGAGTAATATCAAATATCACTAACTCAATGGTCATAGCAGCTCAGCAGCACAGTCCCATCAGTCTCAGGAATTAGCAGGATAATCTCCGCTCCCTGTCTCTTCAAACCTGTTTCAATTTTGTTGACTTCTCTTCCCTGAAGATGACTTTCATGTATTGACCAGCATCTCGTTATATTTCTACAAAAAGAACTGGCCAAATTCAGGATAACTAAAGGAAGACAATATAGAATTATTTGTGGGCAAATTGTTTTGCCTTCTAGATTCAATCAGTGAATCTGTAATAAATCAACTTTTAATGCAGTGAGGTAACCAATGTGAACCACCCATCCAAATGAAGCTACTCTTCTTTTCTCGTCTAGTGTACTGTCCTTGGAAGTGGAACCTCACTTTAGTGAACTCCACTTTTCTAGGATTTGAAAGGAGGTTGTAAGGGCCCTCCCCAGTCTGACTTTCTGATTCTTAAGCCTTTGGGAACAATCCGGCTAATGGTATGTTGATGGAAACGTGCCCAGTACAGCTTCCTCCTCATGTTACACATTTACAGGGAGGGAAAGAACTTCTAGATGATTTATCGACATTTATTTAATCTCCAACTTATGTTTAGAACCCTAAGCATCGGGTACTGAGGATACAAGAGAAATGAATGTTTAAATCCCTAACCGAGAAAAGTACAATCTGTGTATGCCACTTGGAAAAATGAAGGCTATGACCTAAGCTGATGTAAAGAAAAGAACATGTGTTTCCTATGAGTAACAGAATTCACTTAAGACTGTGAATCCTAACAAAATTGCCTATTCTTATATAAGTGTATATAACAGTATAGTAAATTTTAGAAATTTAAGGTATTGCTATAGTATTCTTGAAATAAGATTTTAGATAAATGTCATATTAATCTGTTCTTTTTCTGTCTCTTCATATAGAAGTTATATGAGTATTTCTTCTGAAGAACCAAAGCTGAAATTTAATGAGAATTTCTACAATTAATGGAATTCCTTTCATGCTATAAAGGAGCATCCCCTCCGCCAGTTTTCTAAAGAGTTCTTGACCATCATTTTGAAAAGATTTATTAAAACTAGCTAAAGACAACAGACTGGATAGCTTTTCTAATCATTTTCATCAATAGGGAAAAAGAAATACGTCTCATTCTTCAATACTTTAAAATGGCTTTTTCCAGTGTGCTCCTTCTTAGCAATCAATATTTTTCTGCATTCTTTAAAAGACAAGAGAATTTGGTTATAAAAGAAATGGGCTGACTAGGCATGTTTTTTTGGTCTTAAAAGCTTAACATGTAAAATTGGCAAAAAAATTTTTACCTTTTATAATACTTGAAAAATAAGTACCTCTTTGCTCTACAAGTAGAATGAATAGGGGAAGAGTTTAAACCTGTTTGTTAAAATATTATTGCAAAGAGCTCTATTTGTAGAAGCAAATTATAGGCAGATTACCAGGTTCTTATAAATACAACTTGTACATGGACATTCTGCAAACCCAGCTGTCACATTTTTCTTGCAACTCCTTTTGCAAAAGCAGACTAAAATGTTTTAAAATGTGAAAAAAAACATTATTTTTTCAAAGCAAGAAAATAATTTACTACCCTCTTACATAATGTATTTATAAACTTTTTCCAGATAAACTAATCAAATAAATTAGAACAATGTGACAACATTACAAATTTAATTTGTTAGCTGCATTCCTTCTGATGTTACCACGAGAGAATGTTACTGATGATTCAGGGCTGTTTCTGAAGTCTGTGTGTTGCTGCTGTCCCCAGTGATGGTGGACTTCTCTTTGCCTTACCTGATCACAAATTATGTTGGGGAAAATAAAGATTTAATATTTCTTTCAATAGAAAAAGAATTTGGTTTTGCTCGTTTAAGAGCAATGAGAAAATGATGGAATGTTGACTGTGTTTGGCACACAGGACACGGACCTTCATGGAAGTCCATGCTCTGCGTGGCATCTGTCAGCTTTTCACCTTTCATTCTTCTTCTTCACTTTTGCTGCTGAGCCTAGCTGTACAAACTTGCACTTTCATTTACTAATATAAATTCAATTTTATTTTACCATTTTAGAGACTACTAAAGATTAAATGTAGAAGGAGAGGGTGCACGTGTTTTTATGTGGAGTGTTAAAAAAGATAAATTTATACCACGGTAACGTGCAGCTTTTATGAAGAGAGAAATTGGTTAAACTGCTAGGTTGAATGAGAGACTTCATCTATTGGACTATTTGTTTTAATCCAGGCATATGGTCTTTAGTAACAGCTTGTAATTTGTTAAAACATTAATTTGGGGGTTTTCCCTATTTTCAGTTGTCCATGTACACAGTCATTATATTAAAAAAGAAATCTGTTCAACAAAGTTGTTTAATTTGTTTAAATCAACATAGCATGAAACACCAAATAAAATGTTTGACATAGTTTTACTTTTAGGTTTCTCATATGTTATAACTTCACTCAGATTGATTCTTGAGTCTTCAGATTGTCCTTCATTTAACTCAGTGATATTTTCCCAGCCTCCTGTTGATTAAGCATATAGGATAGCTTTATTTAAAATTTAGAGCGGTAGGTCTATTTTGGCTGTTTTTCTTTTTCATGTATGTTTTTAAACTTTGGTGATCATTAGCAAACTGAAAGCCTTCTAAGTCATCAAGTTTTTATTAGAAGTGGTACAAAATTCTTAATTATATTGTATTAAGAGCAGTGCTCCCAGAGAATGACCGTGATCTTTACAATGGCTGGCTTGCTTTTTGGTCAGCACTTGAAAAATCTGTATTTACTTGCAGACCTTAAGGAGGTCTTCAGTATTCACACTACATTAAGGGGAGCGCTCAGGAATCAAATATGGCCCTCATATGAAAATAGGGTGAATGGGCTTTTAGTTTCCTTTCTACACCATTGCAAACTAGGCCAAATTTAGTCAGTCACCAGTCACGGGTGTGTTTGGCGGTACCTCTAGCTATTACAGGAAGGTAAGGCTATATGTGTCCTCCTACATAACCACACCACCTCGTGGTGTGTTACAGTAAAAGCAAATCTAAAACAGTTATCTTACATGACAAGTTTATTAGCAAGCAGGGCTTCTGGAAAGCTTGGGGAAGTTCCTTCTCTGCTCACAAGTAACCCCACAAACACCTTGACTAAAAAGTTCACAGTGAAGCAGCAGCAGTGATATTCTGAAAGCAGAATTAAGAAACCTGATTGCCTGGTTGGACCAGGTCACAGTCATAAACATGTGTGGAGTGCTGGAGCGGGAAGGCACAGGGGCAAAGAGATCTCTAGACCGAGGTACTATAAAAAGTCATTATTTTTCAGGATCTGCCGGATTCTTACACTTCATTTCATGCATTTTGCCTCTAAAAGTCTAGACAACCACCTGCTTTTCAGTCTGCATTCACCAGTGAAAAATTAATATCCTTTATGCTGATGAACACTGGCGTATACTTAGATAAGTGTTTAAAGCATCTGCCTAGCCACCTGATCGAGGTGCTTCAAATACTATCTAACTTCCTCTCAGAAGAAGATTGAAGTTAACTTACACAGCACACATGAATTGCACAATTTATATTTAAAGTATTTTAAAGTAAATTATTGCATAATAAGTAACAATAAATTCTCCCATCTTTTGTATTACATTTTTAAAAATCTGATTGAAATGGACTCTTGGCCTTCATCTATTCTGTGCATTGAACACTTAAAGGCATGATGGGGCTGGGTTCAGTGGCTTACACTGTAATCCGAGCAGTTTGAGAGGCCAAGGCAAGGAGGATCACTTAAGGCCAGCAGTTCAAGACCAGCTTGAGCAGCATAGCAAAACCCTCCCCCCAACGCACCCCCCATCTCTACTGCTCAAAAGAAAAAAAAAAAAAAAAGCATGATGGAATAGCTATTGGATCAGAGTTACAAAAAGCAATTTTAAAAATAAGCTAACATCTAAGAAACATCATTGTGATATACTCCCTCCCCAAAATCCTAATTTTTACTCAGTGGAACACCTAAGCCCACTCCAGAAATGTTCTGGATTGTCATTTTTCTCACATCCTTTAGCACCTCCTTAGTTTTGGGGAGGAGTCTGAAGGCCCTTGCTAAGAAGTGGGAGAGAAAAGGACCAGCGTGTGAACAGAAGTGACCAATTTTATTGCAAATTAAACATTTGTTTACTAGTTCCTTGGGTGAATCTCAATTGGGTTTTTATATTAGTAAGTTTGATTACAATTTTAGAGATGAAAAGTAACTTTAGAAACTAAAAATTGGGAGGGCTGAGGTGGGCGGATCACCTGAGGTCGGGAGTTCGAGACCAGCCTGACCAACATGGAGAGATCCCATCTGCTACTAAAAAAAAATTACCCAAGCTGGTGATGCATGCCTGTAATCCCAGCTACTTGGGAGGCTGAGGCAAGAGAATCGCTTCAACCTGGGAGGCGGAGTTGCAGTAAGCCGAGATCACACCATTGCACTCCAGCCTGAGCAACAGAGCGAAACTCCCTCTCAAAAAAAAAAGTAAAAAATACAAAAATTAGTTGGTGTGGTGGTGCACGCTTGTAATCCCAGCTACTCTGGAGGCTGAGGCACGAGAATCTCTTGAACCCGGGATGTGGAGGTGCAGTGAGCCGAGATTGCGCCGACTGCACTCCAGCCGGGTGACAGAGTGAGTCTGTCTCAAAAGAAAAAACTAATGCCAAGATTATGAAGTTCAAAAGAAGTTTTAAAATTGCGTTTAAAAAAATATACACAGGCCCAGCCGCCGTGGCTCATGCCCTAGTCCACAACTTAGGATCCACAGGATGGGAGGATTTTTACTTAGCCCAGTAGTTTGAGACAGTCTGGGTAACATATGGAGACCCTGTCTCTACAAAAATTAGAAAATTAGCCGGGCATGATGGCACATGTCTGTGGTCTCAATCACTTGAGAAGCTGAGGTGGGAGGGTCACGTGAACCCAGAAGGTCGAGGTTGCAGTGAGCTGTGATTGTGCCACTGCACTCCAGCCTGAGTGACAGAGCCAGACCCTATCTAAACAACGACAACAACAAAAACCCTAAAAATTAAAGTATACACTATGAAAGGACTGACGATCACTTTTGAATTACTGGATCTCTAAATACCTTGTGGAAGAGTAAAGGGAGAGGTTCAGAAGGCAAGGTGCTAATGTTGGAAGCAATAGAAAACTGAAGAGCCAGCATCTGCAGTTACACTTAGGTGGTTAAGTATCAGATTTGCCAGTAATTAACCATAGGAAGCTTGGTAAGTTAGTTGAGTTCTCTGTATCTGGTTGTTTTCATTGCTAAGTGGGAGAATAATACTCATGGAGTTGTCTTTTTTTTTTTTTTTTTTTTTGAGACTGAGTCTTGCTCTGTCACCAGGCTGGAGTGCAGTGGTGCCATCTCGGCTCACTGCAACCTCCACCTCCCAGGTTCAAGCGATTCCCCTGCCTCAGCCTCCCCAGTAGCTGGCACTACAGGTGCACGCCACCACGCCCAGCTAATTATTTGTATTTTAATAGAGACAGGATTTCACCATGTCGGCCAGGCTGGTCTCGAACTCCTGACCTCGTGATCCGCCCACCTCGGCCTTCCAAAGTGTTGGGATTACAGGCGTGAGCCACCATGCCCGGCCCTCATGGAGTTGTCTTAATTATTAAGGTTGAATTAAATGAGTATAAAGTTTCTCAGTAATTTTTCAATAAATGTTAAAGCTTTTGTGTTTAAGGCCGGGCATGGTGGCTCACGCCTGTAATCCCAGCACTTTGGGAGCCCGAGGCAGGTGGATCACCTGAGGCCAGGAGTTCGAGACCAGCCTGGTCGACATGGTGAAAACGCCATCTCTACTAAAAATACAAAAATCAGCTGGGCGTGGTGGCACACGTCTGTAGTCCCAGCTACTCGGGAGGCTGAGGCATGAGAATCTCTTGAATCTGAGAGGGAGAGGTTGCAGTGAACCAAGATCACACCACTGCACTCCAGCCTGGGCGACAAGAGTGAAATTCTGTCTTAAAAAAAAAAAATTGTGTTTAGTTTGAGATACTTGTGGAAGACAGGGTCTCTGAAAGGCCAAAGAATGGCAGGAATCTGCCCCTGTAAGTGGGATCTTCACTGTCATTAGTCTTTTTTTTTTTAAGATGCCCATTCTAGGTAGTATTATACCAAGCAAACTAATGGATGTGAACTGTTTTCTTCAGGGCAGTATTGCAAGTTTAGAATTTGTAATCATTGAGTTGCTACCATATTACCATTTCACAATCACTTCCCTTTCCATTTCTCCCAAAATGTTTTCTTTCCAAAAAGAATTTTATTTTTATTTTCACATATTTGGAGGCTTTTTTTTTTGACATCCTTTGACACAATTAGAGTTACCTTGTTGGCTGCAAATATAGGGATGCTTAACTGCTTTTCCAGAAGTTAGTTGACACTGGCCAGCCTCCAGGAGGTGCTACAGGAAGCTGGGGCAGTGAGAAGTTTCTAAGGCAGTTTCCAAGAGGACCGTGAAGCACATCTCATTCAGCTCTGTCTAATGATTCTTCTCCTCCGTAAGTGGAGCTGCCTTACCAGAAGGTGTTATCAAAAAAGAGATGGGGTCAGGCACGGTGGCTCACACCTGTAATCCCAACACTCTAGTAGGCCAAGGCGGGTGGATCACTTTAAGGTCAGGAGTTCCAGAGCAGCCTGACCAACATGGTGAAACCGCATATCTACTAAAAATACAAAAATTAGTGAGGTGTGGTGGCACACATTTGTAATCCCAGCTACTCGGGAGGCCTAGGCAGGAGAATCGTTTGAACCTGCGAAGTGGAGGTTGCAGTGAGCCGAGATTGCACCACTGCACTTCAGCCTGGGTGACCAAGCAAGGCCCTGTCTCAACAACAACAACAAATAGATCGGGAAGGCAAGGATTTGGAAGCCCTTGTTGGATGTGAGGGTCAGGAAAGACATCCTTCGGTGCTTCTCTTGCTAGTTCCAGAGTCATCCTTCTCCCTCAGAATGATTGGCAAGAAGTTGTCTCACTCTGAGCTGCACCTGCCCTACACTGTCATTCATGTCCTCAGCTGACATGACCTCTGGCTAGTGGAGTATCAGTGTCCCAGGCTTTTGGGTTTGGGGAGGGTTGGAAAGGTAAGTGGGGTCCCCACATCAATGACTGACATCATTTTGCCATGGCAGGAACAGTGGAAATCAAAGGCCACGCTCGGTAACTTGTTTCCCCAGACTGTACATCCCACGTTGACATATCTGAGGGCTCTTGTCAAAAGCCAGCCCTGCCCCAGTATGTGGCAACCAGAAGTGCCAGGAAGTGAAGACCTGGGAGGCAGCTTTCAATCAGTGACACAGAGAGTCTATAATATGGTTCCTGCTGCTGCCTGGGGTGTGCTTTTACTTGTATTCTTACACTTTTGCCCAGAGCTGCTTCACCAGATCAAGCATTTGTCCCTC